CGGTTTCCCCGCCCCGAATACCGCTTACTGGCTTTCCTATCGGCTTCAGGTGTGCACTCGGCCGGCATCGCAATGCAGGGCCCAACTCCCAAACACCGCATGCCCATTCCTGTGCTGGCTCTTTTTGATGGTGGGGAAATGGAGAAAGAAAAAGAAAAAAAGACGGAAAACCGGGGGAAAGGGGACACAAAAGAGAAGGAGAAAAGAAAAAAGAAAAAAAAAAGATCGTCGTTCTCGGCGGCCATCTCCACCCTCGCACTGCCGAAGCAAAACTCTAATCAGAGCAAACTGTATCCACGATTCGTGGCATGAAGTTATGATTGGAAACCGAAAAGCTTGTAGCTCGAGTGCATCCCGTCTATTTTTGTCAACGCTCGTTGAAGTGCCCTCAATGGGAGATGGTCTAAGAAATTGGGCACGAGAAGAAGGCTCCATTGAAGATAATACCTGCACTATGAGACAGCAAAACAGCGCTATTCCTTGCAAAACCGCTCTAGACCAGCCAGGCCTTGTTTCGAAGTGCCCCAGGGTAGAAAAGGGGGCCTTCTCACACCTTTTGTTGCTCACCACTTCTTTCGAGGATCGCCGTTTCACGCTTGTAGCTTTCGGGTCTTGGGTTGGCGCCCGTCGATCTGCGGAGATTTTCAGATAGATGGACGAGGCGTCTGGCAACGGGCAATGCGAAAGCTGCGAGGGTTTTCTCTTCCCCGATATGCTTGTAGTGAAAGAAGAATTGCTTGATCTACACCGCGATGTTAAGGGGATCAAGAAAGAAGGAGAAAAACAAGAAAAGGAAAAAGGAGAAGATGGAAACCGATAACTTGATCTACGCGTATATTCTTTAAAGCTCGCAGCAAACGCAATGCACGTCCAGTATCAATGGCAGGGGCGTTTTTCCCCACGAGAAAACTTGCAGTCGGATTGAACCGGTGCGATGCAGGCAGCAAGTCATTTGAGTGAGAGGTGAATAGATGATGAGTGGTGCTAATAATACATCAAATACATCAAGTACCATGCGCCAATGCTTTCAAGATGTTTGAAATGCCTACCCTCAAGTTGGTTGAGATATGACTGCAGCAGCTAACAGCACCACCCATGTGCCATGTTCAACTTATGGCCCCATCCCCATCTCACGCCCCTCGGGCAGGCAAGTCCTCGACCTAGAGCTCCACCACCGAATCTGATTGATCAATTCAGAATGGATGACACGCCGTGCGTGATGTGATGTGATTTGGCCGGGGCTCGACCAAAATCGCTCGCACCAGGATTCGCCAGTCCTCTGATCGACCGGTGCCCGCCCAACATCAACCACTTCTCGTCTCCCTTCCCGTTTTGCCTATTTACGTCGACAAGGTTAGATGTTGGGAGGGGGGTTGTGGCTGGCCAGTCCCTCACAAACCTTCCGCAGGGCCCCGTGCATGATGCGGCGGTCGATCCCGGCAGCTAGCCGGAGAGTTCGCATCGTGGGGCCCATCAACCATTGATTCTTGTTGATGAGTAGATAATCCTTTTTTTTTGGTTCTTTTTATTTTGTCATCTGTCAATAGTATTTGATGTACGCGAATCGTAGGGCTGTAGGGTTTTACTTGGTTGCCGCTTTAAGAGAATTGATTTCTCAGGTTTCCCCCTTGCTGAGGTTGCTTGATGCATTACATCCATTGTAACGTCCATGTATATGCAATGGATGCACTGGGAAGTGCTTTGCTGCGTCTTGCTCTGTTCTGCACATCAACGTTGCTAATGCAGCGTCTGCGCCCAGTTTTTTTGTCCCTCTTCTTCCTTCCCCTCTTCCTTTACCCTCTTACAAGACAAGAGGAAATAATAGCATGTCGGCAAGTTCAAGGGCGATTTGAATTAGGGCGCATTGATGCACATCGTTGGTACGGAGCATTAATACGCAGCGATGTGCAATGCAGCACTTGGCCTGACAGCGTGCCCCTGTCCGTCAAAGGGAGGATTCAACTTTCCTCTGTCTAATGTACAAAGTATTCAACTGATAGACGCAAGTAACCAATGGGCATTAGTGGAGAAAAATGGGTAGAGCTGCGAAACGGAATCGTCGGTCCCGGAAGACAGTCGTCTGGACCGAGCCGGAAGGCGTCGTCACCACGCTTTGGCCCGGCCCCAGAGCGTCTATTTCATTCTGTATCTAGCTCTTTACCTCCTCCCTTGTGATCGCCACGGACTGGGAAGCTTTTTTCCTAAGCTTAATGCCTTTCGGTTTAGAGGTAAGTGGAGAAAGGGAGGAAGGGAAGGGGGAAAGGAAAATGGTATTTCCCCGATTGGGATTGGGCTACGGTGGCACGTCTGAGAATACACTACAGGGGGATAGAGAATAGAGGAGAAGAAGGAGAAGATTGAGGATGTGAGGGGAGGACCAAAGGGAAAGGGAGGGGATCCGAGCAAGATCGTCTGGATGAGGAGAGATCCGCTCACGACGATGCGACTCAGCGAGTCGTAGCCAAGAGATAAGGGCGCCTGGGCGATAAGGTGGGAGGGAGGGATGGAGGATGGAGGACAGGGAGGGGGAGAAGGGACGATCAGCTTCCGTTCCTGTCGAGACGAGAGAAATGTCAATTGTCAGTCGGCCGCGATACTCATTCTTATTCTGTGCCTGGGCTAATACTATTACAACTAGAGTGTAAGATTCATGCCTTTCATGCTGTTTTGCGGTGGCCGAGCGTGGAAGGCCAGGTCCAGACCTAACCCAGCAAGTCCAGTCTATGGCTTAGTCACCAAAAGCAACCTTTTGACCTTTCTGGAGGATTTGGTTCCTGAACATCTCAACGGATAGATCTGTCAAGGGGATCCAGCATCCCTGTAGCGAACATGGGTGGACCCCGCTGAGCAAGGGGCATGGCATCAAGTTGCCCAACCCAGCCAATAACACCGGACGAGCACCAGCACCAGCACCAGCACAGGCCACAGGCCCCAACCCTTGCGCGACACGACCCCTGGCTTACCTAATCCCAAAAATAGCTTGAAGCGACGTGCTGTTCGCTGCAAGCCCATTCATTCACTGCCCCTTGGAGCGCTCGGCTTGTTTGATCTGCCTTGAGCCTCCACGAGCCCCGACTTTTGGTGTCGCAGAATCGGCCTTGGAGTCCATGGAGGGATCCGTTCCATCCCCGCACAAGCATGCGCCGAAACCACCCACCCCTTCCTTTTGGGGCCTTTTCTTTTGTTGTTTTTCCTTTGCTGCTGCTTGAGTCTCTCTGTCAACATTACTCAAGCTCTACGCCGTATTGAAGGAAACAGCCGAGCTGTACCTACTTGTCCACGCACACACGATGCTTGATAACGCATGTACCCCATTGAGAGAGAGAGACCTGTGCGTGCGTGCTTCAAGCAACCTCCGGTTCCCCCGCCATTTCTCCCTTATCCCACTTTGCACCAAGCTCGGCCTCAACCTTGTTACCTCTGCCGTCGCGGTGAGACGCCTGGGCGGTCCGGCACCTCGCCAGTCCGTCCAACTCCAGACCCTCTCTTGCAGACCCGACCGCGCTTCGACACACGCGCCAGGGCATTGGCCACGAGCGATGCTGTACCTCTTTGGGGGTTTTGTTTTTTGGCAGCGACCCTTCCTCTTTGCTCCCCTTGTGCCCCTCGGGCCCTTGGGCCATCCTCCTTCTCCGGAGACCGACGCAATAGTCGTCCCCCTCTATACTTGCTGCCCCTGACCTGTGCTCCAATCATCGTCGTCTTTATGCAGCTTCGTTTCCGCGGTCCTGGACCATCCGCAGATAGACCACACACACACACACTCTCTCTCTCTCTCTCTCCCATGTTTTTTTAGCTCTCGTTTCTTTTTTACCCCATACCATACTCCATCTTTGCCCAGCCCTGTCCCTGGCATAACTGTAACCTTCTCTCCCCCGCCCCTTTACCTTGCTGCACTGGAGGCTGTTTCTAGTTCCCCTGCTTCGCTGTGCTTGTTCCCTGCCCTCCCCCCCATGCCGTCGATCTCCTGGATGCTCTCCGGCCGCTTGCCCACCCTTCTTTTCTTCCCTTGGGGAGATCCTGTAACGGCCTTTTATGCGATGCTTGGCCACTAGTTGATGCTTGCAGGGAGCCAATTTCTCGGCTCCTAGCCCGGCGCGCGCACGTAGTACGAAGTGGTAGTAATAGTAGCTAGTAGTAGTAGTAACGAGCCGTAGCAGCGGTCTCGATCCTTGGCCTTGTTTCGTAGCACCATGAACGGCTTGGGTGGAGTGTAAGCCCTGGTGTTCTCCCCACACACCATTCTCTCTCTCTCTTTCTCACCTCTCCCATTGATCCATTCACCGATGGGATGTATACTCTTTTCCTTCTTCTCATCTTTCAGTAAATCGTTTCCTTGATTCTTTCTCTCAACTTTTCCTTTCCCTTTTTTGCTTTTTTGCCAGATCGGGGTCCTTCCATCCAGACTTCTTTTCTCCGCAACATAGCATCTGGGGTCTGGTTTCCTCGTGTCTTTTTTTCTTTTCTTTTTCTTCAAACTTGGCTTCTTTCTCTGCCATTTACATCATTTTCTTCTTCTTGCTAACAGAGGCTGGCCGCTCCCATTAATCATTGTTTCTTCTTTTCTTTTCCAACTCCTTCTTTCAATTCATTCGGGGCTGGCTCTTCCTTTCTCTTCTTTTCGACTTCTTTCTTTCCACCTCACTCTTTAGCAATCGACTCTAGCAGCCGGTCTTCCTTTCCCCGTTGACGACGTTTCTCGACCTCACTCTCTCGCTCTCGCCGTGGCAAACGAACCGGAATCGAGCCAATTCTTCGAGTCTACCGACACCGTCCTTTCTCTCTCTCTTCGATTTCGACGTCCTCTCTGTGAGAGACCATTTGTACATTTTTCGAACCCCCGATAGCCCTTCCTTCTTCAACATTGCCCAGTTTCTTCTGGTTGTTCAAAGCAAAACTCCCATGTTGCAACAAAGGCGGTAGAACTTCTCTCTTCCTCTCAACGACTATCGCCTTCCCCTCCTCCTCGCCATTTTCACCCCCTTCCCCCGCAAAAGAAAATGGCTCTCTATTCCCTCCTCGTGCTCGCGTTAGCGGCGTCCGGGTCGGCCTGGCCCCAACTCTCCTTCGACCAGGACCTCGTCTCCCGCGACACCCACACCACCCCCGCGAGCTCCCCTACACGACGACCAGCAGCCGCGTCTCTCCTCGCAGCGGCTTCAACCTCCCCGTGGTAGACGACGGCGACGACATGTCCCTCCTCACCCTCCCGATAGCCAATGTCAAAAGGCCAGGTCGCGGAGGGCACCCGCTACCGCTACCACGCACTCGAGACGCCAGCTCCCCGTGGATGAGGATCTCGGCATGGACGCCGTGACGTTGCCCGTGGCTCGTTTTCGCAAGACGACATCCAAGGCCCCCGCCCCCAGAGCTCTGTCTATCCCCATCGAAGAGGAAGACGTCGGCGACCTCGTCACCCTCCCCGTCTTCATGGGTCCCGGGAAGAGCGGTGGCAGGGTGGCCTCGAGGCAGTTCCCCGAGGATGACCCCGGTGCTGGTGCCGGCGTGCTCACGTTGCCCGTCATCCACTCCACCAAACCCGGTGTTTTCAAGCGTGCGGTCGAGTTGCAGCTGGCCAACAGGTCCGATGTGGCCTACTATGCGCAACGTAGGTTCTTTTTCTTTTTTTCTGGTTTTTTGTACTTGGTTCTTTCTAACATGATTCCAAGTCAACTTTGGCACGCCGCCCCAACCCGTTTTTGTCCAGCTCGACACCGGCTCTTTCGAACTCTGGGTGAATCCCGACTGCACCATCCTATCCGAGCGGGATATCCGCTTCTGCGAGGCCGTAGGCGCCTACGACGCCACCGTTTCAACGACAGCGGGCGAGTTTGCCGGAAACAAGACGCTGAGGTACGGCATCGGTGCCGCCAACATCACCTACATCAAGGACTCGATAGGTCTCCCAGGAAGTAAGCTCAACAACCAAAGTCCCCCTCCCACCCTTCGCTCCCTTTCTCACAACTAACTCTCTCCTCTTTTCAAGGCAACGCCGTGCTCAAGGACGTCCAATTCGGCGTCGCCACCGCCACCCAGGACCAATTCGCCGGCATCCTCGGCCTCGGCTACGGCGAAGGCATCACGACGCAGTACAAAAACTTCATCGACGAGCTCGCGGACCAGGGCGTGACCAAGACCAAGGCCTTCTCCATCGGCCTCGGCAGCAAGAACGACCAAGAGGGCGTCATCGTCTTTGGCGGCGTCGACACCGCCAAGTTCTCGGGCCGCCTGGCCTCCCTGCCCATCATCCCCGCCGCGCAGTCCCCCGACGGCGTGCCCCGCTACTGGGTGCAGATGCGCAGCATCACCCTCGAGGCCCCCAACAAGCCCCCAAGACCTACCCGGGCTCCGACACCCCCGTCTTCCTCGACAGCGGCGCCACCCTCTCCCTGCTCCCCACCGCGCTCGCCGAGGCCATCGCCGCCGACTTTGGCTCCCCGGCGAGGACGAGAACGGCTTCTTCCCGTCGACTGCAAGTTTGTCGAGTACCAGGGCTCCCTCGACTTTGACTTTGAGGGCGTCACCATCCGCGTGCCCTACCGCGAGATGATTCGCGAGCTGAGCAACCCGCCGAGGTGTTACCTTGGTATCGTGGCCAGCGAGGACTTTATCCTCTTGGGTGACACCTTTATGCGGTCTGCCTATGGTGCGTATCCTTACCCCTTCTTCGCGTAGACCAGGAAGCCGAAAGAACAAGAAAAAAGTCTTAAGAAGCAAAATCCAAGATGCTAATGAATCTATCCATAGTCGTCATCGATGCTGATACCCGAACCGCTTACATGGCCCAGTACGCCAACTGCGGCTCCATGGTCAAGCCCATCAACAGCCCCACCGACATCTCTGGCTTCTACGGCCTCTGCGGCCTCAACGAAAGCTCAACCCTCCCCAGCAGTACCAGCAACACCTCTGCCGAGGCCGACTCCACTCCCGGCGCTCCTGCGCAGGGCGTCAATGCCGCAAGTGGCCGGGATCCGAGACGTTCCGCGTTGGCGGCGGCGGTAGTGGTAGCTGCGGCAGCCGTCATAGTATAGGGGCGTGCCGCGCAAGAGAGCGACGGGGAAGCTAGGCTTTGGCCTTGGCTTTTCCCTTCTTCTTGTTTTTCCTTCACATCAGCTCCTTTTTTTCTGACACGCTTGGTTTTCTTTTTCTTTTCCTTTAGTCTTTCAAGTGTTCTCAACCTTGAACATGGCAGTATGGCGCTCGGCGTTTCCTTGACACCTTCACCGTGTCCATCATTTCCTGGCTTTTTCTTTATCGTCGATGCATATTCCACCAAACTGTGCGCGAGTAGGCGAGACCCCAGGCCAGACACACCTGTCCCCTGTTGGTTTCTTACCTCATCATCTTTATCCCTTGTTTATCTCGACTATCTACCCTCTCCTATGATAGGAACACACATCCCTATCGGGAGGGGGTCTATTAGCACTCTTGTACATTTGTACATGCCCCAGAATTTCGAGCCTCGCCCCCTTTTCTCAGCTTAGAGGCTGCAGAAGAGGAACCATGGGGCCAAAGGTCCATTTGTCTTTTTCTTCTTTTTTTTGGTCCTCTTTTCTCTTTTATCTCCATCGTGGAAGATTTGAAAGGGAGATAGGGCTAGGGTGGGGGTAGGATGCCCGCCAAAGTCGAGGTTTGGTCTGTGAGCAAAGCGGACACACGGAAAGCATTCATGTATATACCGTTCGAAGAAGCTGAAAGAGGCGAGCAAATATCAAAGCCCGAGTTACGGGGCGAGTCAGGGTTGTAGCGCAACGCATGGTTTGTTGCGTGAACGAAAGAGCGGGTGGAACCAAGTTTGAGGAGGTATATACTCGGCAGCTGGCTAGACGGAACCTGTTATGGTAGTACTTGGTAATGAATGATATTGATGCATGCATGCAAGAGACTTGGAGTTAATTGCTTTTCCTTGCCTCTCGGTAAATGCCGTGAGCCCCGATATCCGATTTCCGCTAACCGTAACCAACCAATTCCTCCCCCGCGCCGCCCGGACCCATTCCGGACCCGAGGCCGGCCTCTCCACTATCCCCGAGCCCGGATCAATCCCCGTCCCACTTTTTTCCCGGCCGGGCCCCCTGAAGAAGCCTTGCTCTTCCCCTCTTTTCTTTTCAGTCCCTTTTTCCATCATTTTCTATTGTTTTCTTTTTTTCTTTTGGAATCTCGTCTTAAATTAGAACAAGTCCGCGTCGTCCCCACCCAGCCAACCCTCCACCGCCGAGTACATCTTCTCCCAAGACCCCAAATCCCGCACCGTGACGAGTTCCGCATCGATATCATACCCCAGCCGCCGCTGCGCCGCACCCAGAAACTTGTATCCCTCCGGCAGGCCCACCATCTCCTCGGCCGAGAACTCGGGCCACCCATCCCTCCGCAAAGGCACGACCTTGTCCTTTTCGTAGACCAGCTTGACGTACCTAACCTTCCACGTGGGGCGTCCACCTTCGGGCACAGCATCTGCGGGCGCGTCGCCCCCATTAGTAAGAGGTTGCGGCGTCGGCGGCTGCTGCTGCTGCTTGGTGCAGAAGAAGAGGAATCGACAATCGCAGTCGACGTCATATTCAATCTCCTCGACCGCCTCGCCGTGGGCAGTACCGTTCGTTCCCCCATGGCCGTTGACGCCATTGCTCACCCCATTTTCTCCCTCGTTTCCCGCAGAGCTGCGAGCCGCCGGAACGGATATAGGACCGCGGAAACGCTGAGTGATGGTGGCCTTCATTTTGCCCACTGCGCGGCCGGTGGCCGGGTTCAGCTCCACCAGAGTCCCGCATTCTCGGTGCTGGATGAATGCGCCGTTGGCTTTGCCCTTGCGGGACATGGCGATGAAGGAGTCAATGGTCTGCACCCCGCTCCAGGCTAGCGTAGCAATAAAGATTAGCTGCATCCGCTCTTTGAATGGCGCTCTTTGCGCTCCCTCTCCAAGTATGCTTCACTAGGCATTCAAGAACGATTCAAAAGATGGTATGCGGAACTGTGTGATCCATCACCTCGCTCTATCATGAATCTCTCTAACCCCCCCCACCCCAACAACAACAACAAAAGGGGTGCACCAGAAAGATCAGGAAAAGAGGGGGTGAGGAGGCTCGGGGTCATGGGTGGATAACTATTCGAGAATGCGAGAGGGGAACGGGGACATACTAGTCCAAACATGGGCCTCCTCGCAGAACAAAGAGCGAAAGTTCATCCACTCCGAGGCGTCACGGTACACCGGCCACCCCTTACACAGCTCCGACACGGCCAGTCGGTCAAGAAGCTCCTCAACAGGGCCATTGATATGGGAATACTGCTGCGTATGGGGCTCGTTGGGGGTTGTCATGACGGAAAATATGATTTGTAGCCGTTCAGTGACGAGGTAACGAAAACTAGGTCTTTGCCGAATGCAGTGCGTGAAAGGGGAAAGGGGAAAGGGAAAAGAAACAGAGGGAGACACTAGCGGGCTTCGGTGTCTTGGCTCTATCTTGAGATCGTGTGTCTTGTTTGATGTCTATATCTGTTCAGCTAGGGAGCCGTCTTGGCCCTTTTATATGCCTTCGCCTGACCCTTCTCCCTCATGTCTTTTTCCCTCCGTCACCCCATCCCCTTCGCTCCAACCTACCTAGTTCGGCCCTCCAAGGGTAACCAAGATATCTCGGGGTCCCTCGGTATTCATTCCCCAGCAGTCCCAATAAACCCGTTGGGAAAAAAGGAGCTCCTCTCGGCATGTTTGCGCCCCTTTCCACCCCTCTTCCAAACCCTTACATCACCCCTACCACAGCACACGCTCTCTCCATCGACAGATGTTGCCCCCCAAGATATCATGGACATCATCATGTCCCCCTATCCCCCACACCCACGACGCACACATTAACTTGTACACGCACCTATCTGCTCCCCTGTCCTCTCCCACGAAAACCACCCACTATCACGCTATCAGAGGGCCCGGGCGCTCCCCTAGAAAGGAAGGATTCAGACCCCGGCCAATCCCCGTTTTCCCCTCTCCCCGACCCTACCATCGCGAACTGCACACACCCTTCTCCGTCCCTCCGCCGGTCCTTCTCGGAGTGGGGCAATTCCCGATAGAGAATAGAGCGGCGATCATGAGCCCAAGCACGGCGTGGCACGAGAGAGAAAGAGTATATCGGGCACCTATTTTGATTCCCATCGAAGGAGGGAAAACGACCCCGGGGCTCCATGGCGTGGCGCCCCGGACACCCTGCACCCTTGCTGAAATCGAGCAAGAGGACGCTCCTCAGCTGTCCGCGCTCTCGCCCACACCTCGCTACGGACGGGGGATGCAGCTCACCCGGCCTCCTTCAGAATGACGAAAGGGGAGGTTTGCTTGCATGACCAGATTCCAACCCAACGGGCCCTTTTTTTCCTTTTTTTCCTTTCTCCCTCCTCTCCTCTCCCCGCGGAGTTTTGGAACCTCTTCGGTGTGCGTCGAGGTTTGCGTCACCCCTGCAAAAGGCCTTTCCCTGCATCGCCATTCGCCTCCGTACCCACCACCCTTCCCATTCAGGGCGCGGCTTTCGCGGCATTAGCTTGTCATGCCATGCCTTTGGCTTCATGTCTCCTTCACACCAACCTTTCATAGGTTCGTTGCTAATGTCACATAACCTATGCACAAGCGCGTATTCTCCGAAACCGACTAGCAACAAGAAATGTTGAAGGGCAACCAACTCAGACGAGGAAGCAAACAGGTACGACTCATGGCAACGCCCAACATCGTTCCAGAACCTCACTTTGCCAGGTCCAATTCCTTTGACCCTTGACATGGTACAGACCGTCTTCTACAATCCGCAACCGCTCGCATCGCTACCACATCCACCGTTGAGATAAGAACCTGCTTCGTTCAGCGATTCTACCATGAGGTGCCCAGCCTCCAATTGCTCAAATCCCAATAGACTCAAGTCGTCCTCTTCCTCCTGTCGAACCATAATACTGCGCAAAACCTATCCAAGCCCGCCCCGAATCTCCAGAAGCCGTAGTGAGGGGCAGGCCGTTGGCGGTCAACGGCGCGCAGGTTCTAATCAATCCTTTGCGCATTTCGTTTCCCACCAGTCATATCCCCAAGGTCCATCAGTCCCCAAGTACGTGGTTACCACCGGGGTGATGGTGACTGACCGGCCAGCCAACGTCAACCCAATCCAGCAGCAGGATATGCACACTGCATTGCCCGCAGGTAGTGGCCCTTGGCACTAACCTCAAACTCTCTGCATGCCAAAAGTCGTCACTGATTCCGCACACGCGCATGCGTCCTTTGTTCCCCTCTCCCCACTCACCGCTTCAATCGAGCTTACTCGGTGAAAGCGAGAATGACAGCTCACCAAAACCGAGGCCTGGGCCAGGTTCGAATGGTCTCCGATTTGGCCTCTTTAGGACTTGCCCCGACTCTTGGGTGGCGGATTCCAAGTTAGGCTAGGCCAAAGGCCAAGCAGGCTTGGTCCTCCAAACCCCTCACGCACATTTAGCACGGTAGCCATCTGAGCATGCACCCGCGCTCTCGGCTTTGAATATGAGCAAATACTCAAACCGAAGTCCCCTCCCCTTCTCATCATTCTTGTTCTCTTCCTCAGCATCCACCCGGCGAATGGAGGGAAAGGGATCATGGGGACTTGAAGGAGACGTCCTACACATACGCCCATGGGCATATCCATTTTCTCTTCAAGACTTTGATTTCCCGCCACCGGGATCTCACTTGTATCCACCGATACACGAGGATCTATGATGGCTAGAAAGAGGCCAGATACCATTAGCCCCTTCGCCCTCCTCCTCCGGTGTGGCCTCTAGACGCATCGGTCTCCCACCTCGGCCAACTACTCTTTTGGCCGTGAGCCGAAGAGGCACCCAAACCCCTAGGTCAGCATAGAGAAGCAAAGAGGTAGACGGAGGGAGAAGGCTGCGCAAGCTGGCTGGGCCTGTATACAACGAGCTTCTTCGTGCCCTTCGCTCCTCGGGCTATCCAAAACTGTTTCATGGGTTTAGGGACCTAAAGGCGACGAAAGCGCTTGACCCTGATTAGTGAAAACCCATCACATCTTTGCACCTAGGTCTGATGTCCCAACGAGCGTGGCATGTCAAGGCTTCCGCTCCTTGGCAAAGGTTCTATCCCGGCCAGAGTCAAGGTTGAGCCTAGTCTTAGCCCGCCCGACCTCTCGATTGTACACACTCAATGCACAGCCTGAGGCACATGCCGCCAAAGGGCTGAGGATATCCTCTACTCAGCGGCCCCTCTCCAAGCTCAAGGGCAAATTAGACCATTTCGACACGACACCAGCCGTGACGTCACCCCAATCGTCAGCCTTGAGGCCGAGCCTCGTGCTGTAGGAAAGACAAGGGAGGACAAGGCTCCCCGCTCCTGGTGGACCAAGAACGAGCTCGGGTCTACACCCATAGCCGTGATTTCTCCGACTCATTCATCCTTTGTTCCACCCTTGGTGGCAAAAGCGCGAGGAAGAAATATAATACCGATGCCCGCTTCTTCAGACTCCCGGGAAGCGAAGGGAAGAAAAGAGGTATCCCAAACATCCTTCTCTTCCCGAGTTCCTATCCAGCGGTTGTTCCTCGCTTGCTCCCTGTGAAATGAGAGGACTCGAGGCGACAGTAGCGCAGCGATCTCATTCGCACAAGCTGCAAAGCGAGAGAGAACACATACCCCCAAGCGAACAGCGAATATCTGCGGCTTCCACCCTGTATTCCATTCTTGCCGGTCGAGGAGCCCTCCTATAGCCGACTATGTGTTGTCCATCTGACACCAAGGTTCGATATTGAGGTCTGTGAGATCGGTCCAGGGGCAGGGCCTGTACCACCTCCATTTGTGCATACAATTTTATAGGTGCTCACTGTCGCCCTTTACGTGACCCTCACCTCCTCGCTTCTTTTCCCCAAGTTAGCGAGGTACCGCCGCCCCTTGATATAGGATAAAGGAATCACCTACAACCGCCAAGATCAAGTCTTCTGAAGTAGAAGTCCGCCGAGTTCCTCTCATGCCCGGTTGGCTGCAAAGTGAGCCTGTTAAGGTAAAAAGAAAATTGCATCCCAAGGAATAGGGCACGCATTCCATTCCACAGTTCATCCCAAAGCTGGACGTGCACCCCCCCCCTTCCTTTCATGTTAACGCAGAGTAGTGCTGTATATGGCAGAGCATATGACAGGTCAGAGGTTTAATTACACATTTGACAGTCTAATACAGCCCAAACAGCGCAGCCCTCCTTCGTTTCTGTGCATCACGGCCGAGGTACGATTAGATAGCCGGTTGAGGGTTTATAGGGCCTCTCACTTTAACCGGAACTACCCTCCCCACCCATCGGCGACGAATCTCTTATTCATAGGATGAAGGAGAAGATGGGGATCGACATTGGGGAATACCCCCAACTTAATTCGGGTATGCAAACCTTTCAATCGCAAGATGGACGAGCGCAAGAAACGGCCTGCGAGACTTAGACGACCTTGTCTCTTGATCAACCGAAACTCGGCCGGAAAACAGCTCGAGTGGCCTACCATCAAACGTATTGCATCTATTGATAAGTAGGGGCTATATTCCATGTCTCGTTAAAGCGTGTGAAAGGACGGCTATCCCCTTAGGCCTCAGCGGAAATCACCTTCAGAGCCCTTCCAGAGTGCATTTCAATATGCAGAAGGTGCAGAGAAACAAACCCTGGCTGGCAGTAAGTTGCTGCACACTGGATATAGCCGGCTGCAGCCCTCGCGTATGATTGTCCTCCGGCCGCCACGAACCGCCATGCCCGGCGCTTAACGGCGTCGCTGGTCCTAGACAAGAAACACAAGTATGCGCACCCGAATGGCAAACCCCGTGGGTATAGAAATGCCGTCGAGACACTCGATCATTAGTAGCGAAGGTAAGCCTTGATACCACCCCCACGGCTTGCTGTTCTCAGTGTCTTGCACTCAATCTTTCTCTGTCATCACCCGAGGATGGCCAGATGTCGCCTACTGGTCCAGATTGCTTGCATATTCCCACCATCATCGAATAAGCGGGTTGATATTGTTTGATGCTACTCGCCCTGCATTGCGGCAAGGGCGATGCATTCTAATGATCACGGGGAGCATGACGGCTGGTCTGGAACGATGCTGGAAGCATGGGGCTAGTGCCTTGGTGGCTACCGAACCTGTGCGTCGGAAGACTTAGATGATGTCGACACCTTCTACCTTCCACCTCCCTTCCTCCCGGACGCAGACGCCGCCTGCGTTATTTCCAGGCTTCTGAGCTGGACATTATGGTAGTTGCCGTTGACATACCTACCGCGCCTCTCCCGAACGTTTCCTCCATTCCGATCTGTTACGCACGCAGACAAGCACACTAAGCCCGCCAACCTC